CAACCTGAAGGCACTCAACAACACCAATATTATTTTAAAGTGTTTGGTTTTTAAGTGCTTTTACCTTTTTAAATTGTATTATATCTATAAATAAATAAAATTGTATTCTATTTTTAAACAAACAATCTGTTTTAATATAGTAATAGTTTAATTCCATATTGATTGTCACTTTTCTAAGTTTTTAATTGGACTGAGTTTTTAGATTGTAAGCCGCTTTGAGTCTCAGTTTTGGGGGGGAAAGTGGAGTACAAATAAATATAATAATAAATATAATAATAGGTATATAATAAATATAATAATAGATATAATAATAACAACAGCAACAACAATAATAGTAGCCATAGTTGTTTATTGAAATGACTATAGATTATTAATCCATCATCATCAATATGTTTATTGATGGTCAAAGGCCATGACCAAAAGCTTAAACTGCACAAAACATTTAAGATCAAAAGTACAAAAGTACAAAAGGCAGCCCATAATTTAACATATAATACTCAAGGATTATTAATCCAATAACAGTTAATCCAATTTCCTCTTTTTTCTTTCACGAACTGCATCCATAACATCCAGTGACAAGGAGTTCCGCAGGAGAAGGAGCTCAGGCTCAGGCTTGTTCCTGTTTCCATTATGCAAACAGCGGAGCAAGCCCTTTTAAAATGCTGGCAACCCATTTTTCTTAAAGTAAAAGCCATGGGAAGATCATACCCTCCAACTGTCCTGATTTGGCAAGAATAGTCCCATTAATCCTGTGTTGTCCCACTTTTCCACTTGCTTTTAAAAGGTCCCAGTTTTTCTCTCCTCCCTCCCACATTCCCCCTTTGCCCTCAGCTTTCTTGCATTGCTGCAAATTGAGACCAAGGTTCAAAAGTCATTCACATTCCGTTAATCCAGAAAGAGGGAAAGGAGAGGATGATCCAAATACACAGCAGAAATAATCCAGTTTGAGACCAATTTAACTCCCCTGGCTCTCTACTGGGAAATCCTGGAAACTGTAGTTTATTGTGGCACCAGAGCTCTCTGAAAGATAAGGGCTAAATGTCTCACAGAACTGCAGTTCCCAGAATTCCCTAGCATTGAGCCAGGACAGCTAAAGCACTCTCAAACTGGATTATTTCTGCAGCATGTTTTGGACCTAAGGGGCAAAATTTTGTCCTTCCCAGTAGACTCAGGCAAAAGCAAACTGCGGTGGCCTCTCCTAGATTCCTCATTCCTGACTTTTGCTATCTTGACCGCACTCTGTTGTGGCTTGGCCACATGTATCCCAATTTTAATCAGTTGGTAGTGTGGAGTAGTGGTTTGAGTTTTGGACTACGACTCTGGAGATCAGGGTTCGAATTCCCACTCGGCCATGGAAACTTATTGTGCATTTTGGTTGGCCAAAAAAAGTATCACTGTTTGGTGGATTTTTGTTTGAATTTGCTAAATGGCCAACACAGCTACCCCTGCATGTTTCCTGGGTGAGCTTGGCAAGTCACACTTTCTCAGCCTCAGGATACCTCCTCTGAACAAATCTTGCCAAGAAAACCCCATGATTGGTTCTCTTTAGGGTCTCCATAAGTCCAAAATTACTTCAAGGTATACAATGACGACAGGCATGCATGGACCCATGGTGAAATGACCCCACAATGTCTGAACAGATGTACCCTTGGTGTGCCTAGATATACCCTTTGTGTTGCACACACACAACTGGCCCAACAGGAGTTTGTGTGTGTGTGTGTGTGTAATTCCTTCTGCTACATTAGTGTTGAATCTCTTTTTACATTTTGATATATTGTTGGGTCCATCTACACTGAAGAAATAATGCAGTTTGACTCCACTCTTAAGTGCTGCAGCTCCATCCTATCGAATCTTGGGATTTGTAGTTTCATAAAAACTTTCTCCTTCTCTGCCAAAGATTGCTTGGTGCCTCGCCAAACTACAGATCCCAGGAGTCTGTAGCATGGCACCATGGCAGTTAAAATGGTGTCAAAGTGCACTATTTCTACTCTTCCATGGCTGCATCAGACGGAACCTTAAAACGTGTAGTTTGTACTCTGGCAGGGAATCTGGCCAAACTACAAATCCCAGGATTCTGTAGGATGGAGCCATGACAATGACAGTGAGATCTGAGTTCTAGAATTGTGTGATGTGAAAGAGACCAGTCCTGAAGACCCAGCCAGTGGACAGAAAATTGGGGAGCCCTCCTTACAAAGTGAGCATTAAAAAGTGAGGTTTTTAAGGACTATCACTCCCAGAATCCCCCCTTGCAATAATGCCCTGCGCCCCAGTCCTAAGCACCTTCCACTGACTATGGGATGAGGATACCCCCAGTTTAAGAAAGCCATTCTGCTAGAAAAGAGAGGATCTAGAATAGCAGGACAGACCAGGCTTTGCTTATGAAGCCTGCCTCTGAGCATGTGCAGACTGGAAAAGGGGCAGAATAGTCAAGCCTGAAGTATATTTTTTCTTAACAGTGTGGCTCTACTACTTTTATTTTTACACAATGCATTGTACACAGTGTGATCAGATTTTGCTTCTCATGAGCTTTTTTTTGGGGGGGGGGGAGGTGGCCTTTCTGGAACTACAATTCCCCAAATCCTTTTTTTTTAATTGATCCATTAAAAATAGCTAAGGATTCCTTCCAACATCTTACCATTTTTCGTACCTTTGCAGCTCAAAGTGGATGGATAAACCACTGTATTTTTGCCAACCTAGTCTTGCATTTGTAATCCGACAGATGCGGTTCCTCTTGTGAGCAATGTTCTGTAAAGTCTTTAAATTGTTCGCTGCACTAAATCGAAGCAGGGATGGGGACAGATATACCCAACTCTCCCGCAAACCTTTCCATGGGCCACTCAGATGGAGTTTGAAGATGATGACCCTCAATCCAATTTAACAACCTCTGCCTGAGCCTGACTTGTGAAGTTGCAGCAAGCATCACACAGCTCATACATTTCCAATCCTGCCTTTACAATCATGAGGACTAGTAGCATGTGGAAGACGGATGTAGATTTCAGGATGCTGAATCTTGCAAATATTAAAGCCCAGACTTCTCTGCTCAAAAGCAAACTGCAGGTGAACATAAGGCCTTTTATTGGGAGCTCCTTGGAAGCTTACACAGGGCTTCAAAGAAACCCAGTAATGCTGGACAGTTCCCCAAGGGGATTCTGGGAACTGTAGTCCAAAACTATTTGTATTTCAAAATGACCTGAATCCCATAGAAATAGATGCAAAATCATGTTCATATGTACTCACCTTGTTTGCATTTTGTTTAGTGTTCTCATTTTTAAATGAAATAAATAATGTTTCCAAGATGTGCTTAGAACCACTGCCATCCCACAATCGGTTCTGCAGCTGACCACTCAGTATTGAAAGTATTCTCAGGAGGTTAAAAGTCTGGAAAAATAATAATAAAATAGTTTATAATGTATTTTGGGGAAGGTGTGTCTTCCTGATCTCCTTCCCTTTGCTCCAAGGATTCAGACGTAAAAATATAATGGATGCCATCCATTGCATTGCTTATATTCACATTTTTTAATTTTTAAGCAAGTTTCTGGGTCTCAAACCTTTTGAGAGACTGGAACCTTTCAGAGGCTAATGAAATAGAGGCCACTGAATTTAAATGAGTTTTTGAAACAGGACAGGATAGAAGCCTAACATAAACAGGATTAAAATATAGCTTCTGTTAGTCCTGACTAGATTAAAGCAGACTTATTGAATCAGTAGATCTTACATAAGCATTCACTAAACCAAGTTTAACTGTTGATTAAATCAAGTTTACATGTTGAGTAAAACAAGATTAAATCAAGTCTAAACGTTGACTAAACCAAGTTTAACTATTGATGAAAGGAAGCTTAACTATTTATTAAGGCAACATTTAATCCAAGTTTATCTACTGATCAAAGGAAGTGTAAGCTATCTATTAAAACAAGTTTGAATGTTGATTTAAAATGTTTAACTAGTGTTAAAGTAAGCTGAAGTGTTGATGAAACAAGCTTAACAGTTGATCTTGAGAAGCTTCACTATCTATTAAAACAAGTTTAAATGTTGATTGAACAAGTTTAACTGCTCTTAAAATGAGTGCATATATTCATTAAGCCGAGTTTAATGGTCGATTAAAGCAAGTAAAACTCAGACGCAGCATAACCATTTATTAAAACAAGTTTAAATGTTGATTATATATGTTTAACTATGGTGAAAGCAAGTTTATATGTTGATTAAGGCAATTGGTTGGTTAAAACAAAGTTTAACTGTTAATGAAAGCAAGTTTAAATGTTGATTAAAGCAAGTTTAACTGTTGGTTAAAGCAAGCTGAAGTGATGATTAAACCAAGTTTGTATATCCAAGCAAGTTCAATGGTGGTTAAAGCAAGTTTAACTTTCCATTGATGCAAGTAGCTCTAGTTGAGAGCCACAATTGGACTTTTTTGTTCCTTGTAATTTACTGAAATTAATTCAGTGGCTTTCTAGGATTATGATGGGGCTTTTAAAGGGACTTGGGAAAAGGGAGAATTCTGTATATTAAAACAGAGGATAGAGATTGAGATGATCTCCCTCCCAACCCAACAGCATCTTCTGTCTTTGGGAGGAAAATTTAAAAATGCACCAAGTTCAAGAGGCAAAGGAGCACCATCTAGGGGTAAAGACAGGAAAGGACAGCCCAGCTAGCAAGAACAAAGATAAAAGAATTAAATAATAAATTAGCATTGTTGTTTTGGAAGGAAGAGGTGGGAACATTTTTTGGGGGGAAGGGGGGCAAAGAATAGACCTGAACTGAGACTTTTATGCCAAATGCACTGCATTGCATTGAAAGCCCTCTCTTTGTAGAAAATGAAAATATTGCTAAGGCAAGAGGATTGTCATTCATGGGGGGAAAATTAAGTGGGGAAAGAGATAGTAACAACCCACTGAAGAAGTATCTGCTTGTTGGGGGTGCAGAACCCCCAACTGTAGTAGCCGCTGGGTTTTTGTAATTGAGATTGCAAGCATTTCAATTTAATTTTCAGCCCTGGATCACTTTCCTAGCTTGGGTGGCTCTCCAGATGTGTTGGACTGCCACACCCATCACCCCAACTTCTGGTTGGGGATGATGAGAGTGGTGGTCCATGCACATCTGGAGGGCTGCCCGGGTTGGGGAAGGTCTGGGTCATGTTTGTGCCAAGGCCGAAGAAGAAACCAGAGAGGCATCTCAAGATGCTCAATTGATAGATGTTTTTATGGAGCTTCCAAAACCAATAAAAACAACCATCAGTTGAACATCTTGAGATGAGTGTCTGGCTTTCTTTGCGGATTTTATTGGGTGCTCCCCAGTTTTTGTTTCCCATGCCAAGGCTGAGTCTGTGGGCACATCAAACCACAAAATGGGACCTCAGACCCCCGTCCAGACCACCTCACTAAATGTGTTGGTGAAAATCTAACCTTCTTGATGGTTGTGGTTGTCGTGTGCCTTCAAGTTGTTTCCAGCTTATGCCAACCCTAAGGTAAAGCTATCATGGGGGTTTTCTTAGCAAGTTTCTTCAGAGGGGGTTTGCCATTGTCATCCTTTGAGGCTGAGAGAGCGTGACTTGGCCAAGCTTACCCAGTGGCTCTCATGGCTAAGCAGGGATTTGAACTCTGGTCTCCAAAGTTGCAGTTCAACACTCAAACCACTTCACCACACTGGCTCTCTATTCTTTTACATTAGCTCCTGAAAATGTGCAATGTGAGCAGCAAAATACTTCTGGCTTTAATTGCACCGGGGCAACAAATTCTTATTTTTGTGGATAACAGATGTACAGTCCATCATTCCCTTAGAAGAGAACAGTTGTTGTTGTTGTTGTTGTTGTTGTTGTTGTTGTTGTGGGCCTTCGAGTTGTTTCCGACTTATGGCGTCCCTACAGCGGTGAACCTATCATGGGGTTTTCTTAGCCAGTTTTGTCAGAGAGGGTTTGCCATTGCCATCCTTTGAGGCTGAGAGCATGTGACTTGCTCATGGTCGCCGAGTGGATTTACATGGCCAACCCAGGATTTGAACCCTGCTCTCCAGAGTCCA